GGGAGGAGGAGCTCCACATGGCAAGGCAGACCTCTCCTGCTCCCCTCAGCAGTGTACTTCCTTGATCTGCCTGTTCTGCTCCCCACTCTGTCTCTGGTGAAGCCTCTCACCCTCCGCATCTCTGGCCTCTACCCCAGTTCTGTTCGAATAAAAAAAAAAAGCTTTTTAAAGCACAGAATGTGTTGGCAGCTTTCACAACTCTAAAATTTTAAGTTTTGACTCCAGGTGTTTCTACTGTCCATTTCGAAGACTTTGTGTGTGTGTGTGTGTGTGTGTGTAACACTCTACTCGCCTTCCTGCCTCCCTCCTTCCCTCTGTCCTTCCTTCTTTTCCAGTTTTCTTCCCTCCCTCCTTTCCTCCTACCTCCTCCTCTTTCTCTGTCTCTCTCTCTCTCTCTAACACACACACGCAAACACAAAGGTTATCTAGAAATATGTTGTTCAGTCTGCGTACATGGGGTATTTTTCTTTTGACTCTCTGTTGCCATTTTGAAGCCTGATTTTTATCTGATTATCTTTCTGTCTGAAAGATTTAAAATAAATCTTTTAAAAAGATTTATTTGTGCACGCAGAACTGGGGTACAGGCCAGAGGTGCAGGGGCAGTGAGAGGACTCACCAGATACAGAGCGGGGAGCAGGACAGGCAGATCAACGAAGTACACTGCTGAGGGGAGCAGCGGGGAGACAGGAGAGGTCTGCCGTGCCATGCGGGTCACCTCCCGGCCACTGAGGAGGGTCGTGTCCTTAGTTTTTAACCCTGTCCAGACATACAGTCAGGTGTAAATTTTCTGTCATATCACCTTCAGAATTCAAAAAATAATTTAGCCTGATGGTTCTGATCTTCCTTTAATTCTGGAGAAATTATTGCTACTCTGTTAAATATTCCCTTCCTTCATCAGCTTTGTTTTATTTCTCCTCCTGTGTCCTGCATCCAACTTACTTTTTCCTTTTCATTCTCTTATCCTTTCCTGTTATTTCTGAGTAGCCTCTCAAATCCATCTTGCAGTGCACTGATTTTTTTAAATGATCCCATCCATAGTGTATTTATTTCAACGATACTATCTTTACTCGCTGAATATTCCTCTTAACTGTGGAGGCTTTGGTGGTGGGTGTGGTGCAGTGACACACATCTGAGGAGATGTGAACCTGATGTGAATCTGTTCCCCTAAACCATACAGTGTTGCAAGGAAGAAGTTCCTCTTCACTTTTTTTTTTTTAGATTTCTTGCTCAAACCTTGTTATCACCAGTATAGCCCCTTATCCCTTTGATTTTATTTCTTGTGTTTATTTAAAATCCTCAGTCCTCATCTA